ATAATTTATTATTGCACCGAATTTAAAATTATAATTATTTTAAATGTATTAAAAATTTAATTTTATAATTTATAGTGATCTGAATTGTTCTCTTGCCACTGTTATTTTTTTGTTTAGGAGTACTGCGACAACCGTTTGGTATTTTAGTTGGAAAACTGCAGTTGATTATTTTAACAATTTTTAGGCTGCTGTGTGCTAAGGTAGGTTACTATTTATAGTAACCAATACTTTATAAGTTACTATTTGGTTTCTACTTTCCCTTTATAATAAATATATTGTGTAAAATATATTCTACATTATATTCTATACAGTGTTTATTTAGAAATACAATATTATCGACTACATAAATCATATTAATATAATATATATTAGGTATATGTTTGAGAATTTTATTTTGTATCGAGAATGCAGACCGGAAAAGCCGCGAATGTCGTTTAAAGTAAAACGATAAGTGGAGGCATGTAAACGTTTTACGTTAATACTTCATACTTCATAGGCATAAGTGCATAACGATTAACGACGTCATAATATTATAACGTACATGGAGGCGTTAATAAAAAATCTCTGAATCGCAATAAGAAAATGAGTATACGTATAATAGACGTATTATAGATTTCAATCATTTTTAATTCCTAAATGTACGTCGGATTTGTCGTACGTCGAAATGTCTAAATCCGACACGCCACGAGCGTTTTTACGTTACCGCATTTGTACTCATTTATTATATCGTACATTCGTACACCTATATGTTACAGTCGGAATTCGCAAAGGAAATAGGAATATTATTATAATATGTAAATAAAATTCAAGCGTGAAAATAACAAAAGTAAACGTTTACGGCATACGCGCGATAAAATCAGACAACAGATTAGTGACAGTATGACCAATGACGAATTGACGCAAGGTTTAAACTTATAGATAATTATAGATAGCACAACTCACTACGTATCAATTTTGAAGCAAAACATAATAAAATACGGAATATCGGGAAATTACATACAAAGATAAACTAATGATGTTTATCCTACTCCGGACTGGGGGGGTAACCGCCTAACCATCGGTATGGCAGGCGTCGACAGCGCGCCCAGTGTTGATTTGTTTTCCCAATACGAATTACGATTTACGAGTAACGAACTTTATAGTTTATATTTTTATAATCATTTATCAAATTATTATTCACTCGCTACCCGATTCCAGACGCCTACAAAAAGGTTAGGTTAGTTAACGCTGTGTAATGTTATAATTTATAAACCTCGTGTCCGCCGCGTCTTAATTAAAACTTTTTTAATTTTTTCTAAGGAATAAGGATCCAGTAGAAAAAGTAAGTACCTATGTGTTAACTGCTGTTATTAATACTTAGATATTTATTTTCTATGATACAAGAATAATTACAGTATAATTTATTATTATTAATTACTTCTAGGTATGTAGGACGTAGGTATATTTCAATATTATTCAACAGACTTAAGATTTAAACTAAATACAATTATAAACCTAAATAAACCATAAATTTACGATAACTTATTGTTTTTAATAAAGATTCCCATCAATTTAACTTTAGTGACAATGTGATAAAATAGTAGGTATCTAGGTACCTACCTAGCGGCTAACACAAATATAGCTAAGCATTTGTACATTTAAATAATAATAATTATAATATATAAATATAGATAATAGGTACCTAATATGAATAGTACTAATAATTTAATGCAGGTAGCCACAGTCCAATAAAAGTTAAAGATAAAAATTTAAAGAGGTACCTATACTTATTAATAAATAATAATAGTTTACATAATAATTATTCATGTGCTTATGTTTATAATTCTATAAGTAATTAACATTTACAGACTAGAAAATTATGTACAAATATATAGGTGTAGGTAATTAATAATAACCAACTTATTGATGAATAATGTGTTTTGTTTTAATTATTTTATTCATTTGTGAACCTAGGTAATAACTAATAGATACATACAGATTCCTGAATATTTTAGGTAATAAATTTGGTTTACCAGACAGACTTGATCTGAATAGAATATGAATATAAGTAGCCTTCAGTTTACCTATTACCATTGATTATTATAGCTATTACCTACATAATATTATAATATATATTTATTATTTTTAAACATTTTTTTTGTAAACTTAAAAAAAATATTGATTGATTTATTTATTTTAATTTTAGGTTAATAAAATAGTACTGGTTTAGGTACTAAATGTACTTATTGTTCAGATAAAGTAAAGTATACCTACCTAAATATATTAATTAAAATATACATAGTTAATATAGCAGAAAAATTAGGGTGTCTGATTTGATATAGGTAATATTATGTCTAGATTCTCTATTAGTAAATCTACCAAGCGCCGTAGGTTCTTGGAGGAACTAGAAGTTGATTTGGACGGATCAGAGTTACAACTTCCTAGCACATCTTGGAGTGATACACATCATACAATTGATACTATTAGCGAATCATTTGAGCCTATAACAACCCCTAACACTAGTAGCACTGTAAAATGTAGTACAATAGATGAAACAATTTATGATGGTCAATTACCTGTTATTTCATATTTTGATAAAAATATTATAAACATTCCTATAGCTGATAAAGATGAATTTAAATTAATTTCAGATACCGATAGTGACGAAGAGAATACTTCTGATCAATACCCATTTTTTAATTATGATAATAAACAATTTATACTTAATTTAATAGCAAAATGGGCAGTAACTCATAACATTAGTAATACTGCCCTTTCTGCATTATTGAAATGTTTAAAATCCCATCAATGTTTTCATAATTTTCCTATAGATGCCAGAACTATTTTAAAACCCAATTTACCTTCTGATTCAATGGTAATTCAATCTATACCTCCCGGAGTTTATCATCATTTCGGACTTGCTAATGGCTTAAATTCCTTAGGAAATATATTAAACTATACTGGAGAAACAATTAAAATATTAATAGGTATTGATGGTCTGCCTCTTACCAAAAGCTCTAATAGTACATTTTGGCCCATTCTTGGATGTGTGAGGTACCCTTCAAATTGTCCACATATATTTCTAATTGGTCTTTATTGGGGGAAAGATAAGCCTAAGGAGAGTAATATATTTTTAAAGGACATGGTAAATGAACTTATTGAGTTATCGAAAAATGGTTTCATGACAGAGTTTGGCAAAAAGTATGTTGTTGTAAATGGATTTTGCTGTGACGCTCCGGCTAAGAGTTACATACTGAAAACCAAAGGCCATACAGGTTTTTTTTCCTGTTCAAGGTGTAGTACCGAAGGACTTTATTTTGATAATAGGGTATGCTTCCCAAAAATTGAATTTACCAAAAGAACTCATTCAGACTTTTTGAATCGTATAAATGATGATTATCATGTTACTAGTTCTACAACAATAATAACTGAAATTCCGAATTTAGACATAATTTATAACTTTCCATTAGATTATATGCATCTTATATGCTTGGGAGTAATGAAAAAATTAATTTTATTATGGTTAGGTATTATTAAAAAAGCACCTCTGTCAATTCGGTTAAATAGTAAAAAAGTAGAAACTATTTCCAATTATCTTTTATTATTCAAACCATCAATAACTTCAGATTTTACTAGATCTCCAAGGGGACTGAATGAAGTGCTTAGGTGGAAAGCCACAGAATATAGATTATTTCTTTTGTACACTGGACCCATAGTTTTACAAGGTATGCTTAGTGAGGATTGTTATTCACATTTTATTTGTTTACATGTATGTATTAGAATTCTATTAACACCAGATATTGAAAGTGAGTTGTTAAATTTTTGTGAAAAAGTATTAGCATATTTTGTTGACAAATTTGGAAAATTATATGGAAAACAGTTTATTTCACACAATGTACATGGGCTATTACATATTACAGATGATTATAAACAATACGGGGCCCTTGATCAATGTTCATGTTTTCCATTTGAAAACTATTTACAGTTTTTAAAAAAAATGGTTCGAAAATTTGAAAAAACATTGGAGCAGGTTGTAAATCGATACCATGAATATTTGGCATTTTCTAATCCTTATAAAGACTTTTTAAAGAATAAATCAGTTCTGGAATTTAAAAGGCTTCATAACAAGGGACCTCTTATTAATGATTTTACTGGGCAACAATATGAATGTATTGTAATAAATGATTTTAAAATTAATATAAAATCCACTGCTGACTGTTTTATTGGTTTTATTAAAGATGGTCAACTTAATATTTGTAAAGTTGAAAATATTTGTATGAATAATGATGAAAAAGTGTTTATTGTGAAGTCTTTTAATAAAATAGAACCATTTTTTGATAAACCAATTAATAGTATTAAATTGCATATTGCTATTGTAAGTAATTTATCAGACAATCTAACTTTTATAAATATTGAAATCTCAAGCATTATCAAATACATTATTTTAAATAATGCTCATAATAATACACTAATTGGGTATCCTATATTACATTCAAATAAATAAAAATTTCAATAGCACTGAAGAAATTTAATCTATACAATTATAACTTCATTAAACATAAGTGGTACCTAATTCATATTATTTTAATTTAAATTGTTTGCAATGATATCTGGTGTTATTAATAATAATCTTTATTATTATTACTACCTATATATATAATATTATAACCAATAATTAATTAATTACCTTTAGCAATTCCAAAAATTTGCTTTCAAAAAAAATTAGGTACAAAAATGTCTTATAGCAGGTATTTCTATATTTCTATAAATAATGTATATCATTCATTTAAATAATATTCCTAATTTATTTATGATTATTTCAATATGAATATTAATTATTCATGTTGTTTTATATATGTACATAAATACCTGTATTATACATTTTTAATTTGTTTTGCTAAATTTTTATGTGTTACATCTTTGTAAAAATCTGTAAATATCCAGAATTTAAATTGTTATTAATAATATAATTTTATGATTAGGTAATTATTAAATAGAAATCTTTTCAAAATTTATGAAGCATGTCGTATTCTGTTGTTCATTTCTTTTTGGACGATAGTGTGGAAGCTGTTCCCAGTTTTTGGTTTAAAGGCAAAACATGTGCTTGGCCAAAAAATAATATATATGCTAAGAAATATATTGAAACCAAACGTGCGCCTAATGATACTGATTTTATATTTTTAAAAGCTCGAGAACTTTGTAAAGGCTTAAGTAAGTTTATTGTTAAAATTTTTTATATTAACTGTTTATTTTATTTTATAAATATCCATGTGTTTAATATTAAAAAGCGTCCCTGAATGGAGCTAAAGACAAAGCCAATATTGGCAGGTATAAATCAGATTTCACTGATGATGAAGTATATTTAAATCAACAAAGCAATGAACCGAATTCACCAGGATCTGTTTCATCAATGCCAATATTTTCTAGTAAAGTTGATAATTTATATTACCTTGTAGATGGATACAATATTTGTTTTAATAAAGTATCAATGTTTTCAACTTGTTCTGTTATTAGGCCCTGAAATGGACAAAGGTTTAGAACCTCCTTCATCTAAAAATTGTGAATCTGCTCCAAATATAAAACATAATAAACTTCAGTCTGGCTGGTCTCCATCACCAAAGAAATTAAAATGTAACTATTAACTTAATTAAATATGTTATATGTAATCATAATTGGAGTTATTAATCATATTATATTGTTTGTTTATAGCACTAAAAAGTGGTAATGCAGGTAACTCATTACTATTGGCAAGTACGTCTAATGTTCAAAAAGGAATAATTCAATATTTCTAAAAATATAGTTATTTATTATTTGTATATCTTTAATTACTAATATCTAATTATTATTTATTAATATAATGTGTTTTACTGTTAGAAAAAAGTCAAACTGTTCGAAAACTTGCATTTAGTAAGGACCATAATACAAAACCTGTACAAAATGTTGAATTAAAGAACGGTAAATTTTTAAAGTTACATATTAACTACTGTTCTTTATAACTATTCAAGCAGTTCTTTCATTTTTAGATTCACCCAAAAATAGTTTTGTATCTGTCAAGAATATAAATTCTGGTCAAATGCAGCAGTCATACTCAAATCATCTATTATCTCACTCAAATTTGTCTCTTAATGAAAGTCTTGATGAAACTGGTATTATATTTTTGTTATTATATATATTGTTTAAAGATATAAATAATTAATTGTACACTTATTTATATTATAGACCAGCCTCAGAAAGAAATAAGCACCCCAAGATTATCTGTTGAGAAATCAAAAAAGTTGGTTACTCCGCTAAATGATGGTATTAATAATAATATAGGTAGGTAAATTAATATTCAGTCATTATAATTTATAAATATTTAATTTTAATATTCCTCTTTATTACATATAGATGTGTTTCAAAATAATATGTTGCGAAATGTTGCATTTTTAAAAGTTGAATTACGTCAAATAAAAAACAATCAAGTTTCAATCTTGGAACAATTAGAATCAATACAATCACATTTACAAGTTAACAATAAATCATATTATATTGAAAATAATCTATCCAATGATGATTTCCATGATTGTACACTACCTTTAGACAATGAGGTTGACTTAGGTGTGTTAGAAGATAAACTTTCTGGTGATCACCAATTTAAGTCGCGTTTGGTAATATTAAAATATGAATATTACAATGAAAAAAAATGATTTATAAGTATTCATTTTGAATTTAAGGTTAACGAATTATCATTAATTGGTGGCAAACATGTAAAGGGGATGGTAAAAAGATTGATGACAAAATTATTTACCGATGATTTGTTATCTAACTATTCTTTTACTGGAAAGAAGGGTAAAAAGCCATTCTCTTCATTGACTATCTGCTCTATTTTGTTTGGTAAGTATAAAAATTTAAAACAACAAACTATACAATTTATGCAATATTTTTCAATTTGCTAGTAGTGTTTAACATATTTTTTTTAAGCATTTGAATTTTGACAAAATTTATCAAAATCTCGAAAATAATCAATCATTGTAATTAAAAAATTATAAAATGTTCAGTTTTAATAACTATAGGGATTGAACATTTAAAACAAAGATTCTCATAAATAGTTCATACTGAAAACCAAAAAATCTAAAAAAATATTTAAACAGTTATTTTTTTCAGACATTTTAAACTCAAATTTGGACAAACTTACATATTAAAACCAAGATTAACAATTTTAGTTATTTTGTTGTAATTTAAAAATATTATTCTTGGATTCCTATATGAAACTTTTAGTGTATTGTTATGTTTTACACACACAATGATATTTTCAAATGTAATTTTTTTGGGAAAAATGAATTTAACCATAGTAGATACTAATGCCTAATACTATAATTAATTACTTTAATCACAATAATATCATAAAATTTGCCTACCTATAATAGTAATATTATAGACTGAAATACCGTCTCTGCTCAGAATCTTTTTTATTATATCATTGAATTCAAATTTAAGACAATCCATTATACAGTGACCCACTTGTAACTTAGGCAGCTCTCCCAGTCTCCCACTAGCGCGACGCGATTGACGCGACGCAACTGACGAAACTGGCGATTCTTATCGCGTCCGTGTTTCCAATGTTTATAAATAGTACTTCTCCCATACACGCAACGCGACTATTTTTGCAGCGACTGCGACGTAAAAAAATCGCGCGCGACTGAACATGTTCAGTTTCATTCCAACGGTCGTCTGCGATTTTGGTAAATATGGCCAAAAAAGACGATCCCGTTTATAACATTAAACTTGTGGAAGAAATTGAAAAACACCCTTGTCTGTACAATTATAAGTTATCCGACTATTCAAAACGAGATGTAACAGATTTGGCATGGGAAAGTGTGGCAAAATCGTTAAAGGACAAAGGTACGTTTATTATTAATCATAGAATAAAATAATCTACAATAGTAATTTAATAATATAATAATAATTAATTATTATTAATAATTAAGTATTAATTTTAATTTTAATTTTTTTATTTTTTAAGTATTAAGTANGAGCTCTAATTATTATGATATAAATATTAATTACCATATAAATTCCTTATAGCGGAAAACTGCAAAGAAAAATGGAGGAACCTTCGTACAGTGTTTGTAAGGAGACAAAAACCACCAAGTGGTTCCGGAAGAAAAGATTGTAAAGTATACTATATGACTGAACATATGCAATTTATTTTACCGTATATTAAAGGATTCAGAAGTGTAGATAGTACGGGAAATCTTCCTTCCCCTCCGAATGTGATGGACGATGAAGTTAACGAAACTGATGAAGTTGAAAACACCGAAGAAAATGAATTCGAATCGACTGCAGAAAGTTTCAACATGACTAAATCAAGCAACGAACAAGTATTTACTCCAAAAGTTAAGAAAAAAAAGACAAACACTTCAGATGCTGCAGATCAATGTTTTATTGATTATATTAATACTAAAAAACAAAATTCCAAAAAAGAAGATGATCCAAGAAAACAGTTTCTGTTAAGTATGTTACCTGAAATACATCAAATGACTGACATCCAAATGAGGAAATTCAAACGTAAAATGTTAGATACAATAGATGATATTTTGGGAGAATCAAGTACCGGAGTAGCTGACTATTTCCAACCTATTCGTCCTATTTCAAACCATTCAACTCATTCAAAAAACTATTCTGTCTATTCGCCAAGTGTATCATCATACGGTTCTGAATCTAGTTCAGTTTTAACTTCACCCATGTACATACAAAATTCAAATAACTTAGAACATACACAAACATTACAAGAGTACCAAAGTGTGCTAAATTTGAGTAACATTGAACAAGTGCAGATAAATCCAAACACGTCTTGTATACCACTCAATATGCAAGAATATCTTACAAAAAAATAATATACATATATATGTATTGCATTTTTGTTTTTTTTAAATAAGACGTATTTTTTTAAAGACGTAAATTTATACATTTTCTATAACATTTAAAATCTAAATTTTTTTAATAAACAATTTTATGTCAAAAATTATTTTTAAATTTTCTTGAAGCATTAAAAATTAAAAATTTTATCTTACTTATTTTGTTTATTGTTTTTAGATGACATAGTCCATTTATACCATATGATTTTCTAACAGGTTTATCGTTTATGCACAATATTTGATGCTTACAATATTTATTTATTACAACGTACAGTGTCAGTTTCTCTATTATTATTATATAAGGACATAAGGTGTGTCAATGATTTGAATGAAAGTCAACGATATTTATTCAATTATTCATATGAGTTTGTGTGCCTATTCTGTGATTTTTGTATTTATAGCGTATTTTTCCTTATTTTTAATGCATTGTTATTTTAATACAACGATTTTTGGTACATATTTTAATGTCCATGAATCATGAACTTGGCCAACCATTTAAATTATCCATATAAATCTAAATTATTATTTCATAACAATCATAACGCGTGAATATACGAGTATACAATACATACCTTATTGTTATTAGAAGTCTTTCTTCGACACCGACACATTTTCTAAAATGAGTATCTTTTCGGCCGATGGCCGGTTCAAGCAAGTTGCAAAGTTCTGAAAAACTTTCTTTACTCATTCTGTAGAATGACTGAAAACGTTCTGGATGTAATAATAGTTCTCTCGAAGCAACATACGCATTTCTGTTGATATTATTTGCTAAGTAGGGATGAATCCAAAATTTACGTTTTTTTTTTTTACTTTTTAAATAAGACCACATCACTATCACACTATCATCTGAACTATCCGATTCCATTTTCAATAGGTACACGGATGATGCTGGTGACGAACTGTTATATACTGTTTAAAAATATACGAACTGAAAAATAATACAGTAGAACAATATTGTTGATGCGACTTCGATCGCGTGAATGAGCGATTCTACGCGAAACTCGTCGCGTACGACAGTTTCATGGTTTTTTATTAAGTTGCGTCGCGTCAATCGCGTCGCGCTAGTGGGAGAGCTGCCTTACTGTACAGCAGAACGACATACACTTGCTCACCTATTTATTCATTACTTTATAAATACTCTGTATTACTCTCTGACCTTACACATCATATTACTAAGCAGTAAAAATGTTAAAACACAAAAACAAATCTTATAATAATTTTATAATGGCTTATTAGAATAATTTTAATTAGAAACTATGGAATATAATGAACATTTTCTTTTTAAATATTATTTGAATGCAATATTATGTATTATTGTTTCAGATGCCATAAAAAAACAATTAAAATTCAAAAACATCTCTCAACACGAGATAGAAGATACTATAAAATATGTTCTTGCCCAAGCCCCTTTTAATCTTAAAAGAAAATTAAACAAGGTGCCCTCATCAGTTTAATAAAATATGCTAATAGTTATATTTGGTATATTATCATTATTAAATTTTATAATTTGTTACATACATTTTTTATTTATTGTATACACTATAATATATATAATATACTATACTATAATATCATAATAATTTTACAGTGTATAACATATTATATTAATTTTTATTCCCTAATCGGTTTATTATATTCATTTTTTTTTATGACAAATGTCTCTTTATTGTACAAATTGATTTAAAACTTTTTTATTTCTATATAACCTTTGTCAGCGTTTCAATATTGCATTCGTTAATATAATTATATTTTAAAATGTATTAAACCTATATTTACTATCATCACTTGTATGTTTAATAATGTATTATCATATTATGCATTATTTATTTATTATGTATTAGGTATACTATAATAGGTAATATACTAGTAACTGCACCATTAAGATTGTTAATTAAAAATACTATTTAGTATTTTTAATTTTTTTTCAACTAATAGTAAATAGCTAATAGGTAGTTATATTTGGTATATCATCATTATTAAATTTTATAATTTGTTACATACATTTAAAATTTTTTATTTATTGTATACACTATAATATATTATATTATATTATACTATAATATCTTAATCACTTTACAGTGTATAACATATTATATTAATTTTTAATTTGTATTCCCTAATTGGTTTATTATATTCATTTTTTTTTATGACAAATGTCTCTTTATTGTACAAATTGATTTAAAACTTTTTTATTTCTATATAACCTTTGTCAGCGTTTCAATATTACATTCGTTGATATAATTATATTTTAAAATGTATTAAACCTATATTTACTATCATCACTTGTATGTTTAATAATGTATTATCATATACATTATTTATTTATTATGTACTATTTAGTATTTTTAATTTTTTTTCAACTAATATCTTTATGTATTTTTTTGTTCTAACTGAAATGTTATATAATTACAATCTATTTGGTTATTGAATTTGTATTAGTATTATTATTTAATAAAAATGCATTTTCAAAAGGAGTATTCAACATTTATTTTGGGTACAACTGTAATGTACCTATTGACTATTGTTCCTGCAATTTTGGATAAATATTTAAATTTAATAATAATATTAGATCTTATTTAAATTAGCAATCAACAATTAATTTTGGTTCAACTAATGTACCTACAACATTAGATAAATATAAGTTAAAATATTATAAATCAGTCTGCAATATTTAATGTATAGTTTAATAAATATTTAAATTTTTGAATTATATAATATTTAACTTTAAATTAATGTTCAACATTTCAATTTGGTTCAACTAACCTACCTGCAATGTTGAATAAATTTAAAACAATGAAAAATCCATTAATTTAAAACTTTTAGTTAATATTTGACATTGGATTTACAATTTTAAGTAAACATTTAAAAAATATTAACTTGCTGTGTGGGTTATGACCTATTTACGTGGAACCTTGTTTTAAATTTTCAATCCTTAGCTATAAAAGTTGATCTTTTTATGAATTTCTAACTCAAAATAATTTGCACATTTTCGTATTTTCTCAATATTTGAACTTTAAATGCTTACAAAAAAAACTGCAAAGTACTAACTAGATTCACTTTGCTATCAGAGAGGGTACTGTTGAAAAAAATCGAGGCATTTTTACTGTCCTAAAAAATGATGACAGATACAAAAATAAAAAAATTTAAAAAAACACATCATTGTAAAATCAATACATTCATCGATCCACTCAAAATCTAAAATGTAGATTTTTTAAAAGATTTTAAAATACATTCCAAAAATGTATAATTAATTTTTTGCATATATTATTTACCTATAATATGCTTTAAGTACCTTCGAAAGTGATTACCTTCCCATTCTGTTATATTAACCACTATTTCACTCAACAAAATTATTTATTGTACAAAATTATGCTTTTAATAAAAAAAAGTTTCGAGGGTTGATATAAATAACTATCTAATAATTAAAAAACAAATCAAATATTTTTTTGTTTATAAAACAAGCAAAACAATAAATGTATGTTAGTTAATATACTCACCGCCCCGACTGTATTTGGAAACTGGGTCTTTTCAAAATATCCTGACGCTATATCCAGCCAATCATTAGTTGTGGGCTCTGACATCTCAATTGGCTGTAATATGTCCCATATAACCTCGCATGTTTCCTGTACTATATTCGATATGGTCGACACTCCCATAAGAAACTCGAAATGTAATGCTGAGAAATGTGTTCCACAAGCCAAATATCTAAATATTATAATATTGTATGAAGATTATTGATACAAATAAAAAATTTATCGAAAAAACATTGATATTTTTAATGATTGTTTAAAATTAAAAATGTTACAATATTCGATATTACCTATCCCGTAAAACGATTATTTCTCTTAACGATTTTTAGTAATTTTTTGTAATTCATGGTCAATTTTTCAATTTTTATTATTCTTTTTGATCTATTAACTATAGGCATAAGAGATTTTTTCAGACGAGTAATAAATATATTGATTTTACAATGATGTGTGTTTTTTTATTTATTTTTTTATTATTTTTTTTTTTTGTGTCTGTCATCACGTTTTGGGGCAGTAAAAATGCTTAGATTTTCTTCAATAGTAACTTTTCTGATAGGAAAGTGAATCTATATGGTACTTTGGGGGGTCAAAAGTAAAAATTTCCCAGTAGTTTTCAAAAGCGCAGTGAAAAACAAATGAAAAATTAAGGAAAAACGGGAATTTTTACGCAAACCAGTTTTCGACCAAATCGAATTTTTTATATGGTTGTAATTCAAAAACTAATTACTGTAAATACTTGAAATTTTCACCCAACGTTTATGTTAGTGTTATCTATATACAGTTCAGTTTCAAATTACTTGAAAATTTAATTGAAGGGTCCACATAACTTGTTCTAACTCTCATTAAAAAATTATAAAAATAAATAGGCACAATTTTTTTTTATTAGCATTTGAAGTTCAAATATTGACAAAAATTCGTCAAAATCATGAATATTTTTCACTATTTGGTAGTTAAAAATTTATAAATATTTTACTATCAAAATTTAAGAATTGAAAATTTAATACTATGCTGTCCATAAGTTAAGCTTAGAATAATTATAAAAAAGTTTGAGGATTATTCAATTAAAAAAATTTTACGAGTGTTTAAAGTTTTAATTTTCGATTTTTGTTATTTTTAAAAAATTACCAAGACTGAAAACTCGTCTCCGATCAGAATCGTTTTTCGTATACAATGATATTATATCATTGAATTCAAATTTAATACCATCCAATATACAGTGACCCACTTGTAACCTACTGTACAGCAGAGCGACATCCACTTACCCGCCCTTTTTTTATTTTTAAATCTATGATTTGAAAATTTAATCCAATTTGATTCCTCATAAGTTTTTCTACGTTTATCAAATTAAATATTTATGAGCGTTAAAAGTTCAAATTTTAACTAAATTTAATAAATTATTTTGTAACCACAAATTATAAAATGTTGATCTTTTATAGCTAAAGATTGAAAATTGAAAAAATTTCCCACTTAAGTAGTGTTTTCTGTAACCAAAAAATCTATAAAATATATTAACACAGTTTTTTTAATAGTTATTTTATCTTTGGACGAAATTACATCTTAAATAATCAAGAAAAAATTGTTTTAAACACTATTCACGTAATAATGTAATATAATATCTGATAACAGTTACATTATGTTTTATACAATGTTACAAGCAACACGGCATAAGCCGTTCCTGTGATTTTTTTGGAACTTATACGTAAGTTCCATAGGAACGTTTCAATGTTTTTTGGGAACGTTATTTTTATGTAACTGTATTTTGCACATTAACGTTTGTAGTCATTTTTATGTAATTTGTGAGTACTTGGAACTTCTTAAGTTATAATAATAATATTAACTCAACTTACAGGCTACCGTATTAATAACAACAATGTATTTTTAATCAAATACTCACAAAAAAACACACATTATTTAAACTCACAATTAAATATTTTATGTTTTGGTTTTTAATTAGTTAAAGAATTAAAAATCAAATGGAAAAATATTCGAGATGCTTATAGGAAAAAATGTGTGACCAAATCTGGTCAGGCCACTAAAAACTCCAAAAATTATATTTACGCACATATTTTGGAATTCCTCAGACCTACAATGGAAAACAGAATGTAATAATATACACTTTATATTATATTTTATTATTAACTTTCATATTTTCTTACTATATTTTTATGCTTACTTATTATGTTCTACAGTACTGAAGGTAATGTGGTAGAAAGTGATGTGGACGAAAGGGATGACAATGATTCAATTTTAGTAAGAGGCACGGATGTTGATTTATCAATACTAGACACTGAAGATAATTTTGAAGTACAACCAAAAAAGAAGAAAACGAAAAATACGAGTACGTTTGAAGAAAAACTATTGACAGTGTTAGCAAATCGCCGGGTTGAAGATCCCGTGACTTCATTTCTAATGTCCTTAGCTCCACAAATTAGATCGCTAACTCAGGACCAACAAAATGATGTTTACATTGAATTTATAAACAGTATTAAAAAAGTTAAAAATTCAAACAATGCGCATCAGTCTCAAGCACCATACATTCCTCCCCCTGCAGTTAATAATAATTATCCTAGATCCTCAGACCATTGTTTTTTGACCAATGATAGTTTATACTCGTATCCTCAATATCCACCTTACCATGGTATGCCTTCTACTTCAACTATACCAACATCTGCTGTTCAAACAAATGTTTTCCACTATGCCAACCTTCCATACTATTCTCAACTTAATTATGCTCCTCCATCTACATCTACATCCACATCTACACCTACTCCATCATGCTCTAACAATAATTATTGATTTTTTATAATTAACATTTTTAGAACCCACAGGTAGTGCGTTATGTTTTTTTTATATGTATGGAAAGTAATTTTGTTTTTTGTAAACTATCTACTTTTAATTAGTTTAATAATGTACATTTTCTTACCTAC